GAAGAAAACGAAGACCAACCCAAATGTAGCTTGGATTGATTACAAGAAGGCATTTGACTCCCTGCCACATGATTGGATAAATCAAGCTCCTAGAAATAACAAGAGTCAGTAGAAACATCAGAAGCTTTGTGCACAGATCAATGGCACAATGGAAGAGGAGTTGCTGGTCAGCGGTGATCGACTGGAAGAGATTAATATCAAGATAGGAATCTTTCAAGGAGACTCACTATCACCACTACTGTTTCTTTGTCATTGCATTGATTCCTCTGTCAACAATACTGAACAAGTCAGGCCATGGCTATCAAACATCAAAAATATCTGCCAGGCTATCCCACCTCCTTTACCTGGACAATCTGAAGCTGTATGGAAAAACACCATTTGAAACAGAATCACTACTCAACACTGTCTGATTATACAGCCAACATGTTACAGTGGAGTTTGGAGTGAACAAATGTGCCACCATTACCATCAACAAGGGAAAAATAGTGAAAACTGAAGGAAATAAGATGCCCTATGGAAATAACATCAAGAATCTGGATGAAGATCACTACAAATACCTGGACATCCTTCAAGCACATTGAAGTCAAGAAGAAGGTTAGTAGTGAATACATCATGAGAGTGAAGAAGATCTTAAAGTCTAAACTCAGTGGAGGAAACAACTCAAGGCAATGACACCTGGACAATTCCAGTCATTAGATACACAGCTGGAAATAGTGGACTGGACTCAAGCTGAATTAGAAGAGGAAGACCAGAAAAATAATGACAATGAATCACGCCCTTCATTCATGCAGCAAAGTTGACAGACTCTACTTACCAAGGAGCATAGGTGGGCATGGAATGTTGCAAGTACATCAGACAGTTGAAGAAGAAAAAAGGACATTGGAAGAATTTCTGAAGGACAGTGAAAAAGATGCACTCAAACTAGTACACTGTGAAGGCTTAATGAATACTGTAGAGACCAAACTGGCCTACAAGAAAGTCCAAGAACAAATGTATACAAAGCCAGAATTGAGAAGACAGCAACAGAGAGCAAATGCCGCTTCTGCAAAGAAGCTGAAGAAACAGTGGACCACTTAGCTGCTGCAAGATCACACAGATAGACTGCAGACAACGGCATGACAAAGTAGCAACAGTGGTGCATTGGAATATCTGCAAGAAATGCCATTTGCCTGCAAGCAAGAACTGGTGGGACCAAAAAAAGGACAACATAATAGAAAATGAAGAAGCTAAAGTGCTCTGGCACTTTAGAATTCAAACAGACAAGCACCTGCCACATAACACCCCAGACTTAACAATTATTGATAAAGACAAAAAAAGTCTGGATGGTGGACATTGCAATATCAGAAGACAACAGAATAGAAGAGAAAGAACTGAAGAAAATCACAAAGACCTGCAAAAGTAGAATGTCTCTGGCAAAAGAAAGCAAAGATAGTATCAATAGTAATAGGTGCCTTGGGTGCAATCCCCAAACATCTGGAGCACCACCTGAACACCATCAGCATTGATAAAATCACCATCAGTCAACTGCAAAAGGCAGCTTTACTTGGAACAGCTTACATCCTGTGACAATACCTTTAACACCATCCAACCATCAAACAACATCTGCCTATCCCAGATCCTTGGGAAGGGTTTGATAGGTGGCTAAAAATGCCAAATCCAGTCTAAACATCTGGCTGACTGTGTGACCATCCATCATAATAATAATTTATTCACAGCTATAAGGCCAGATACAGTAAACTATCCAATAGTAGAACTGTTACATATATATAACGGAAAAACAATGAGTATAATAAGATCTAAAGATAAATAAGAACATGTATAATAATTTTTTTTTAAAAAAATAGTATTATAAAACCCCTAATACAACTTTGTTCAATCCTGGTCTGTTAGGTCTACAATTCCCAGAGTGCCTAATCAGCATGGTGTTTGACAGCTTTAATGTAGTAGATATTTTTGAAATACAGGAACATCTTTGATTAGAAAGATAATTAATTTACACTTTTAAATGTTATAATCTTGCATATTTATTGTATGGGTAAACTTAGTCATCTAATTTTAGAAATATATTCACAATGTTAATAATTAGAATTAGTTTTTAACTTCTTTAAAGAAGAATTAGAGAACAGGTGTGCTGGCAGTCTGGTGTTATGTGTATTCATGAATTGGAAGATGAATGACTAAGATAGCACTGCTTTTGAGATAAAGGGAAAGCAGCACAATGAGTTAATTTAAAACTTTTAAAATCTTCTAAGATGAGTTTTAATAGGAATAG